GCAAAACTGCTTCAATTGCCAATGGATTTGTATAATTCATTTAATTTCCATAACTAGCAGATAGTTGTACTATAGTTTAATGGTCAGAAATTACATGGCTACCAGTGCATGAATTGAACAAGTGCATATGATTTAAAGCATGGTTATTTAATGGTGGAAATCTATTTAGAGATCATATAAAAGACTTGGAAAATGAGAACCCACTTTGTGCTGTTGTGCATATGATGGACATCATTAAGTATGCTGAATCTGTCTTATTTTATGGGATCACATGTCTGTATGGTTGGCAGAATAAAGTGAAAAGTTGGGAAATCCTTTTCTTCATGCAATGACATGTATGTTTCTTGGCAACTTTGTTGGATAGTCTAAAATCATGTGAAACAGACTATGAGTTGCATTGGAAGAATGCCAGTTATTATATGTTAAAATTTATTGGTTAAATTTTCATGTCTTGTTGGAAATTATCCCAGTTTTGATAGCCTCAATTAATCTATGAAATTAATTGAGATGATTTATTAGAGCATGACAAAATTATGATTTTGCCCAAGTGGATATTAAGTCATATTAAGCCGCTTAGAATTGTGTCTTTTGTGAACACAATTTTCAATCTGTATTTTATTCATTTATTCAAGTTGAAATATGGTGAATTGGTATCCATGCTTTGACAAGAATGTTATCTTGTCAAATATCATATATATGATTAATTGCATATGCTTGGTGAAGTTGAAATTTTGTGAATCAAGATGCTTAACTCTTTTTCATTGTACTGTACTACATGCACTACTAGAAAAGGAGGCAACATAAACGGAATTTTAGCGACGTACAAATTCTTTTGTTATTATTGACAGAACAACAACAAATTAGCAACGGATTAATATTATATTACTTTTATAAAATAAATATTAAATTTCCGACGGAATTGGCAACAAAATTTTTTCGTTAGTTTAATTCTGTTACTATTCCGTTGGTAAAAATTTAAAAATAAAAAACAATTAATTAAATAATTTAGTGACGGGATTTTCTAACCGTTGATTCTGTTGAAAATTATATAAAATAATAAAATAATTACCTATGGAATAAATACTTGTGGGTAAACTTTGAAAGTAGAATTTAAAATTTATTATCCCACTACCCATTAAAACCCTAGATCTTTCCCTCTCCAATCTTGTCACCTCTCAACCCTTCACCATTTACAACGATTTTGCCGCCCCTGGTTCACGGCTCCATTGAATCCTCAATCCGCCTCCTTCCTTCACAGCCTCCGCCTCCGCAGAAGAAGAAGGTGATTAGGAATTAGGATTTAGATGAAGGCGTGAAGCCTCACGGCCCTTGCCTGCTCCGTCGTGTCTCGTTTTCCCTTTCTTATTTATTTTTTTATTTTGATTTGTGTAAATTGTAATAATGTTTGTTTTTGTTAGAAATAAAAATGATGCTGAGTCCAAATTGCTAGAAATAAAGGAGTGGAAGGAACGCCTTGGACGTTCAACTAGAGCCTCCGCATTATCAACTCTAGTTGAGGCAGGGGAAGAAGATCTGCTTGATGATGATGTAGAAGAAGAAAGAGAGGTCAGTTGTTTCACTTGGGAGTTCTTGTCCTGTGCCCCTGAGAAGTATTGTATTCTGGCTCCTATCAATGTGTCGTGACTCATTATTTTTATTTTTTATGGTATATGCTCCCCTAATTTACCCCCTAACTCTGACTTTCTATCACAAGAAACAAATCTATGTTAGCTGTTTTACATGATGGCAGAAGGGACAGTTTAAAACCAATTTATTTTAACAATGGTTTTGAGCTTCTATATTTAATGGGCTTCTTCTTCCGCGGCTCAACTGGTTGCTTGTTTACTCGGGAAATGCTTGTTGATGTCCAAATTTATGGATGTCCGAGCACCACTTGGTTCC